CACTCGCAAAGAATAACTACTGGTGGACAAAAGAGTACTTGTATTTTTATTCTTTCCTTTTCCTGCTTCCAGGAAACTTTAAATAGATTGATTAGGGGCACGTATGGGATCTCTCTCTAATGAGCTAGTAGAGCTATTTAATGGCGAGATGATGCCAGCCTTGGATTTTTTCTTTATTCTTGTGTCTCGCTGAATATCAGAGTAGTCATGGTCTTGAGTCTGGGACAGGAATTGAGAGGAATACAGTTTTTCACTTGCTCATCCAGAGGGTGCTGGAAGGGATCACCCCTCGGTGAAGCACCAGGCGCAGAGCTGAGCTGTCTAAGTAAAGCTGTCCATCCCTCTCAGGAGGCAAACCAGCAAGGGTGGCTGCTGGCTGAAGTGCAAATATTCTCAGCCAAGCATTAGCTATAGGATTTGCTTCAGTAATTACCTCTACTTTAGTCTTGTGACCCAACATGAGGAAAAATGACTCTTGGCCAAATGACAAGTTGCTGAGAGGTCTAGGGCATTGGGGCATGTGTCCTCTACCTGTTGGAGTGTGTTACAAGCAGGTGGGCATTTTTTGTTCTCTGTCTTTTACTGTATTGCATGCCTGATGATTAGAGGTTGATTTAACGTGTTTCCCAGAAAACTCGAAGGACTGTAGTTATCAATAGATGCAGGAGTAGGAATGGGTTTCTTATTCTTTAATACTAAGGAAAGACATCCCTGCCACCAAGATCATCAGAGTGTGCTATGCATGCTGGAGATAGCACACAATTGAAGGGGATGTTCCCTCTTTTCTGACCCTAGAGGCAAAATCCTCTCTTCTTTTATACACAGGCAAAATTCAGACCACCATCCATATACCTTGGCCTCTGATAATTAGGGAACCTAAATATTTGGCTCATGGTAACAATTTTATGTCTTCTAACAAGCGGAACAGCGTTCCCCTAGGTCCCACTCTCTTTGAGCCGTGCTGCTATGACAGTAATGCGATTGTCACTGCCATGGTATGCTTAACCTTTGCCAAACCAGAGCTGAGGCATTAACTCAGATCCTCAACTCACATGTCTTAAAGGGCAACATAACCTGTGCTGCCTCCACACTGCCGGACCGACACAGTGTGCGGCTCAGTAATAATAAGCACGTAAATGTGACAAGCGTAAGCTGTAACAATGATTGATGCAAACAGAAAAATAACAAAGAGAAGCTGAAAAATAGCGATGTGGTGGAATTCCTAGGACCAGTGTCTCCATGGCACCAGCAGCCTGATACCCTGACACCAGAAGAAAGGCTACACTCCTCTGTGGTAGAAACGATCTCCATGCCATGCAACGAAATTCCAGCAAACAGGACAAGGACTGATGGTGTCTGGAAGTGGTAGTGCCACTGCTACCCGGATAATAGTCTGAATTAGATTATGTGAAAAAAGAAGGAATATATAGACGGCCAGCTGCTCAAAGGCTTACTACAACCTTGCTTTTATTGTTCTGCTAAGTTAGAGGTGGGGCATCAGAGGGATTCCTAACATACCACTACTGAGAAATTTTAATATGTTCCACACTGACACATATAAAAAGGAAATAACAGCTGATCATAGTCAGAGGAGACGGCAGCATCTCTTCGTATGCATGCACAGAAGCGTGGGCAAAGTGGGGTGCTCTTGGCCAGGAAGACTTAGGCACCCGAGCTAACCTGACGCCAGCTGAACCTTTCTCCTGCCATTGGGCTGAGTTTCAGCGAAAGGGCTGTCCAGCGGGAAGCAAGACAGCAGAAAAAAAGGGGATCTGGGCATGGCTACTCACCCCATGCCAAGATACCAGAACATGGAGAAGGGCAGGGGAGCTGAGAGGCTGCACATTTAACACTGATGAAAAGAAACACATGTTTACACAACCGACAATGATCCAGTGGAACAAGATATCACAGAGGGCAAAAGTTTAGCTGGGCTCAGCAAAAGGACTTGTTATGTATGGGAGGGTTACAGTTGTAAGGGTTTTATTTTTAAAGAGTTTTTGGAAGGGTTATAAACTCTCAGGACTCTGAGAGTTCAGTTGATGGGGTTAGGGAAAAACCCTTCGCCACAGCAAGTTACCCTGTAACTGCCTGCCATGGGGTCTCTATGTCTGTCTTTGATGTGGCCGCTTCCAGCCACGCTCAAGAGGTGGATTACTCAAATAACATGGGACTGTGGCATGGTCTCATGTAGCAAAACTTTTCTAAAACTCATAGAGACAAGTCTCTCCTCATACTCAGCAAGACATTAGAGGCAGAGGAATTTGTAGTATTTGTAATACAACTCTCTAATATTTATAATTGTAATTACAATGGTAGCATTTGGGTGAAAAAAAAAGAAGGGTTTTTTTTCTTCTTTCAGTTAAACAAATAATCCACCAGACTTTTTGCAAAAACAAATGTCTCAGTGGCTTCATGCATGCTTTGCACCATAGATAGTCAACTCCCTTCAAGGTCCAAGAACAACCTTGAGCACTCCCTAGTGCACCCGAGAGCAGACAGGCCAGGAAGGGGACACAGTCTGCCACGGGGGAAATGGGGAATGAAGCCAACTCCAGGAGGATTCCTGTCAAATGAGTCACTGCAGGCATCGATACCAGCCCCCAAGGAGGTGGCTCGCTTCCCTCCCACCTGGGCAAAAGAGATTGCAATCCTGGCAACTCAAGCAAGCAAGAACATACAGGTGCTTTCACAAGCCTCAATGGCACGTGAGGGATTGTTCCGGTGGGGAAGATGGCTTTGCGGAGATCCTCCTCTCCTGGGAGACCTGGGATATTGCTACTGCAAACTGTACACAAGACTGTCCATAACAATTATCCTGCTCTACAAGGGGGAATCATCAGCATACGTGCATCTGATTAAAACCAGGCACTGCACGAACCCTGGAAACCTACATGGGACACCTTCAGGTGGTGATCTGAGCTTGTAAATAGAGTAATCGGCAGTAGCCCCTAATTATATTCATTCACTAATCAAATTACATTTTATTTTGTAAGCTTGAAATATCTGTTCCTTCCACATTTGCTTTTAACCGGAAAACCTAAAAGCATTTTCTTATAACACTGGTATTGCAAATAAGATTTCATTGTTCCAGCAAGAGCATGTCAATTTATGTAGAAGTCACATTGGGAACCGCTGATTCAAGCTGGTAAGTAATTACTCACCAAATAGTTCTCTTTAAGTCAAGGAGACTTGACACATTATTCATGTGTATAACTGCTCACAGATATGACTAAGGTCCGAGCAAAAGTGAGCATTGTTAGTAATTCAAAAGAAAAAAAAACAGAGGTCCTAAAATGTAGATGTTCTTTTGAGGAAGGACAAATAACAGCACTGTGATTATTACAGCCGCATTTATTGGCCCCGTGAGGCAGCTGGATTGCTTCTATTAGAAAATAACTTTGCAATGAGAAGCTGATTTGAAGTTAATTTGTCTGTTGGTTTTAAATAATCATTTGCCTGTCCTTTTCCAATATGCAGAGTTCTCACCTCTCAGCCTCTGGGACAGTTACAAAGCTTTCGGAAATGGTAGTAGCATTTAGTATATAGGAAACATTTTTTCATCTTCAAAGAGTTGCAGAAACCTTAGCAAGTTACTTGTCATGCCATCTGTCCCAGGCAGAAACAAATAAGATGTGTTATAAGGAGGCTATGGGAGAAATTTAAATGAACTTGAGGGCTAGGATAAAAGAAATCTGCCTGACAGTCCCACAAGAGTCAGTCCACACACACCATCTTGCAAATTCAGATTTGCCACAAGAAAATTACCCCCCCACACACAGACTCTGTGTGAGCCTGCTGTACTAACACTACAGCAGTTAGCTGACATAATACTGAGATTGCTCTTCACATGATTCAGCTTTGTTACTCTGTTTTTTGCTACTGGACCCATTAATTTGAACTTTTATAGGATGAATTCACTCACCTGAATCTTAGCAGGGAGACGGGGCTCTCTTCCTCAGCCAAGCTCTCTCGAGGCAGTGTCCGTTCCCACACCTCACAATTACACTACACTGACACTGTATCACTGGGCTCATAACAGTGAAACTCTTCTTTTGTCCCAAAGACACAGAGAACAGTTATGCTCATGCCTCTGACGCTGATACGCAGCAAAATGATCTGCCAGCAAACGAGGAGAGCCTCCCTCTCTCCTTCAGCAGGCGGTCTGGGGTCCTGCAGCATCCTCCCGTGTCAGCTACCGACTGTACAGCCACGCTGCATTACGTGTCACGCTGACGGGGTCGGCTACCTACTAAATATACCCCTTGGTGTTACAGCAAAGGCAAACACCGTGGCTTTCCTCACAGGTTTCAGCCAATCAAGAGTGTGTATTAAATCTGTCCTAATCCATAACCAGTGCTGTCCAGTCCGTAGTAAAGCTTCCCAGAAGTTTGGATAAATAATAATGTGCCAATTAAGAGTGCTCCTGAGAAGCATGACACACAAAGCTAGAAATAAATATTGCCTGTTGTTTCAAATTATTCTAAGCACTCCGGCAGATGACTGGCAAGAGAACAGCATGCATAAGTAGTGATAAAAGTAAACAGTCCAGCTTTAAACTAGCAGGCTTGCCTGTGTTCATAGAGCCCTATTGTAATGGGACAAAGAGGGTGCTGGCGATACTGATGCTCTCTCGATGAATTTGGGGCAGAGTCCAGCACATCCATTCACTCCAAAGCCATACAGCTAGGACCAGCGCAGCGCTGCAGACTTGAGCCCGGCACGCTCACAAGAATGGATGTTTAACCAAGTTGCTCGGAAGCACACTGGGCTACCTATTTGACTGTGTACAGGCATCCTTCAGACAGGAGGTATAGTTAAATATACAAGGATAAGAAGGAGACACAAGGTACTAGAGCTGTGTCGGTTCCACATCAACACATTTTAATTTAAAAAATGGTACAAGGAGAACACGTGTTTGTCAGATAAAGAGATTAAGCACTCAGTTTAAGTCCACGTAATACTCAAAATCTGGAGGAATCTCTTATTTGTGTGCTTACCTTTGGAAAATGCACCGCTCCTTCCTCCCCTCAAACTCTTCGGAGAGCTAAAAAGAGGTCCTGTTACTTCCAAATGCTTTTGTTCTTCTGTCCCTCTGTCACATGGCTTGCCTTTTATATTTGCAACACACAAAAGTTAGGGCTGTTGTTTAAGAGAGAGAGGGAGAGGGAGAGGGCGAGGGAGAGGGAGAGAGAGGGAATGTCAAATGGAAAAGTGCCATTGCAGTCATATATCAATCAGGGCAGCGGCAGCAGCAGCTCACTGGCAAATGGGAATTCCACAGAAATGTGAAGCTCTTGTTATCTGAGAAATCACAAAACACCACCAGCCAAGCTCCCCTCTGCAGGGACTTCTTATTATTGGCAAGCCAGGAAATAGAAGGAAATGTAGGCGCTTTTTTGTTGTTGTTATTGTTTCGGATCTGGAGATATGTACGCTGTGGCATATGTAAGCCAGTGGAATATAAATCCTGAATCAAATTCCTTCCTAAACAAATGCACTGTGTGCAAGATAAAGCAAACCACTGAGAAGCAAGGTAATAGAGCTAAGTGAAGAATCTGAAAGTAATGATTTAAAAATTTTTATATCTCTTTGTACTTGGAAAATATCCATAGAGAACCTGCCTTTTCCCCAGATTACTCATTGATCTCCTTTTTTTCTGACAGGTTTTTCTTAGAATTTTTTTAACTGTGGTTGATCTCAGATATCCTTACTTCAAGCTGTGCTGCTTTGCTACAATTGGTCACCTAAATCATCTGACATTCCCTGGCTCCCCAGTTGGGTAAGCAGACAAGCATTTTGCTGTATAAATACTTATCTGCAATTCCAATGCTTCAGATAACCTGCCCTGAAATTCTGAAGTTTCTCTCAAATAAACTGAGAAGTTTGCTCACAGAAGCAGAGCTATTTAAAATTTCAAACAAACATTATCTGCCTGTTTTACCCACCTTCCTCTGAAGAATGCCAAGTTTGAAAATGGTTATCCTTCAAACCTTTTATATAAATATTGCGTCTCATGCGAAAATTAATTCCCTGAGGGGCTGAAGGCAGACTCCATCCACTGGAAAACCCCGCTTATAACAAGCACATCACAGCTCTGGATGCACCAAACCCTCTTCTCCACTCCCACAGAGGAGCGCATTTCACTTCCCTTTGGAGTGTTCCCTGGTCGTCCTGCTGCGTTACGGGAAGCACAGACCTTAGCCAGTTAATTAAAAAATAGGCGACATAGCTGGCCATTCACAAGCTGGATCTGTTCAGAGGCACTGGCCGGCAGATGGACGGGGTCCTGTGTCGATTGTGTTTGAACTCTAAAGGAAAGTTGGTATTTGATGGATGATGTTATTAGCTAAATGTCTTATGTGGTATAAGATCAAAGAACAGATGGAAATTATGCCTTAAAAATAGAATAATCTAAAAGGGGAATGGCTTGTAGATGAGTAAGCATCATGGAAACAATAAAGGAGACATTCTTTGGCTTGCTTTGCTGCAGAGCCAGGTTTGGCTAGTGAGATAAACAAATGATCCACTTAGGACTGAGATTCTCAGGATGTGAGTTTTGCCACACATTTTTTCCCTCATATTCAGTGTTTACATTGTTTTGCTTCTTAACTCAATCCCAGGTTTCTCTCACCGACCATATGTGTACCAGCTCTCTGCCTCCCTCGCAGATGCCACCGCAGTTGCCCAGGGTGAATGATAGCAGAGCTCACCAGCATCTTTGCCACGCTGTAACTGCAGGCTGAAATGCCACCGATGCTCTGGCACTACAATTACCTTAAACAGATAGACTACACATAGCAAACTTTTTTAATTTAGCCAACACCCTCTTTTAAAACTAAGAGTATTGGCCCTTTGGTCATTATGCTGCCAGGTTGTCTGTTTTTTTCCATGGGAAAGAAAGTGGCTCACATACTCGTTGTTTGAACTAAGGACTTGCCATGTGCAAGACAAAAGCCTGGCTAAGTAGTAGCTCCTGGATTAAATCCTCCAGGAGATAGTGGATATTCTACTCATGGTCCTTACAGAAAATGATGCTTCAGTTTTTTACTGGTGCAGCTTAGGTTTGTTATCTTTGTGTCATCTACAGGAGACAATATCTGCATTACTTACTTGTTGGGTGCTAAGCATACTTTAAATATTCAACAATTATCAGCAATACCTCAAACAGTGGTATTTTTGAGAAGTAGTGCTCAGTGGTTTGCTACCACAGCTACCAATTCCTAATACAGGAGAATCTGAAGATATTGGACTAAAAATTTTTCAAAAAATTAAAAGTGTCTTTCAATTTTTTATCTTCAGCTTCAAGACTGTCTTTGGCAGTAAGTGGGAGTTAATTGGCAGTGAATTGACCTCACAGGCTGAGGTCAATTATAAACTGACCCTCTCATTTGTGTCCTTCTGAATGAACTTACACATGATCACAAGCACAAAAGTAGAAGCATCAAATGTAGCCTCCCTCCACCTCAAGAACACTATGGCCCATAACTTTTTCATAGCTGTTCATAAATCTTCATCTTCTCTCTACTACTGTGACTTAATCCCACCCATAAAACCAGTCATTTTAAAGAAACAAATACAAGCGGAAAGCACAGGAGCTCAGAGCTCGGTTTTCAAAGATGATTAAACATCTGAGATGGCCCCAGATACTAGATAAGATTTCCAGAAGATCTAAGGTATCCTGCTCCCATCCGTTTTGATCAGAGTTCCCTTCAAAGGGAGTTTATGTCACTTAGCAATAGTTGCCTGAAAACTAAGTTTAGGCTCTCCCAGCAGCAAATGGAGAGTTTCTATCCCAAATTACTTTCAGTTCAGGCTAGTTTAAGGTCAGCATCAATAACAGTTTTTCTCTCTGTGAACAACCAAAGATATTCTGCTGACTCAGTTGGACTAAATATCTTTTTTTAAATAGGTAAAACTACGCAAGATAAATTCCTCCCTCAGGGACTCAGGCTGTAATTTTTAAGAGATGGAGATCCACCTCTGCATGGAGTTCTACCAACCTCCCTGGTTCCATCCCCATGAAATGCATTGCAGACCTGCAACCCTAATTCGCAGGTCTCCTTTTTCCACCACTGTATGACCTACAAGACTCACGTTTGTCCTTGGAAAAGCGGTGTACTACCATTACCTGCAGTTCAGTGGGACTGAATTTTTTGCTCTGTTGGTATCATCAAGTATCATGTTGCTTCCTCAAAGGAGCAGGATTTCACCTCACCATCGTGCGTGTGTTGTGAAATGCATTCAGAATTCTGCAGCAAAACCGATCTTTCATTTTCAGCTGAAGGATTTTCCAGTGCCGCTGTTTTGTAGTATTCCCCAGGCAATTTTTGCATTCTGAGACAGTCGATAACAGATGTCCAGATCATCACATGTACTGTCAGAACAGGCACTACTTGGTATCTGTGCTGGTTGTGTCTGCAAAGACCATGAATGGAGTACACATGCAAGGACAATTTTTACATGTAGATATATACTCATACACAGACATAAACACATACACTACTGCTGCAATCAGTTAGAGAGAGTAGGATGTATAGGAATGCAGTTCAGGGAAGGACGATGCTTTGTTCCAGTATTGAATTGATAAAGGGTTGTTTATATTTGGGGCTTGGCTAGCAGTATTCTTTTCGTAGTTGGGAATGTAGGAAGAACGGGAAGTATTGTAATGATAGTCTACAGTAGCAAGGAACATAATACTTGTATAATGAATATATACTTTATGCAGACAAGAGGTACCCAGAATTCTTAGAGGAAGTATTTTCTATCATTTTAATAATCAAAATAAGTATTAGGTAAATAATATTCCAAATAAATAAAATTACATAGCCACATACAGGACCAGGTGGCACAAAAGCCTGTTTAGGCACTCTTTTCATCTCTTCTGTCACGCCATTGTACGTTCCCTCAGATTCATTTTGCAAGGATATTTAAATACCTAAACACATATATTCTTCTGTAACCTAAATGGGCCTCTTCTTTCAATGTTTATATGTATCCATGGATGTGTGTTGTTAAGACGCAGTATCTGGAAATGTTTATTCAGTGCCTTACACATACGCCACTATTAAAGCAAGGCTCCCTTCATCTAGGGAATAAGGCTGCTATGGAGAAGACTGTGAAAATGGGGTCTGAACTATTTGCTTATTCATTTTACCACAGAAGTCACTGTATAGTCCACAGTCTATTGCCTTTGGACTATACTCAGACTTTAGCTTGACTTGAAAATGTGGTTGCAGCAGGGCCAGAAGTTGGTGTCCCCCTGATTCCTTCAGCAAGAAGTAGGAGCTGGTCACTTAGGGCTCCCCTGTGGAGTTCTGCCTACAAGGCACAAATGGTGTTGGAGTATCGGTGCTTAAAAAAGACAAGCTCAAGAGCCTGACAAGGAAAACAGTATACCAAGGAGAGAGCTTGGATGAACAGTGGCTTGAACAGGCCTGTGGGAGACTGTGGCGGTCAGGCAGGGGAAGGTTAGCATGAGTGATTCGAGTGCATGAAGTCGCTGCTCTGCCCTCCTAATGAAAGTTGCTACCTGCTGTTAGTCACACTTGGGCTCCCCTGCACTCACCACAGAGGCAGGATGAACAGGTTGTATAGGATGATGAAGAAGCCTGGATTCCTACACATTTTTAAGCCTATGATGTCCCTCATGGTTACCCACTCAGATTTTACCTCTATGTTACCTTCAGCTCCCTGACCCCTGCATCTCTTGATGATGTGTAATGCTCCACCTTGCCTTTGCTCTCTCCCACAAAATTTTTAACTGCTTTTAAAGCCCCTACAAGACTGCTGGCTGAGCAAGGGCAGCATGCCCTCCATGGCTAGCAACCATGTGCTCATCATCCAGCACACTGTGGCTCCTTGCCTCCTCAGACTGCCAAACTGTGGGTGCTTCAGATTCCTTCTGCAGGACAGCAACAGGATGCAACACTCCTGCCAAAGCACCACAGCTCCTTACATATCCAAGAACTTGCCTAGAAACTTTGTTTTCTCGGAGACCTTTGCTTTGCTGTTAAAATTGGTTGAAATTGGACAGCTGGTTGAAACGCCAATGGGAGAGAC